AAAGAAAGAAAGAAAGAAAGAAAGAAAGAAAGAAAGAAAGAAAGAAAGAAAGAAAGAAAGAAAGAAAGAAAGAAAGAAAGAAAGAAAGAAAGAAAGAAAGAAAGAAAGAAAGAAAGAAAGAAAGAAAGAAAGGAGGAAAGAAAGAAATAGAAACCACCCAAAAAACTTGGAATTGTGCTCACAGTGAATTGAAAAATCAGTGCTAAATTTAAGGCAGAGCCATGAGGCAGAGGTTGGCCGAGGGCAGAGGAGGAAAGGTGCGGCCCACGGACGCGTGGGAATAAAGGGGAAAGTTGTGGGAGTGTGCCACGTCGGGACGAGGGACGGTGCGCCGTGCGGGTGTGTGCGGGTATCTGTGCGGGGACCGGCCCGAGCAGCAACGTCTCTCAAAGTTACCTTTGTTTACATGGCATACGGCTGGGAGCGCGGTGTGGCACTGCTGGAGGGAAACACACACAGAGACGCTTTTTTTAAAAAAAAAAAAAAAAAAAAACTTTGGTCAGCGCTCGGGACTGGCGGCACGCTCACGCTCTGTGCGGAGATGGTTAATGAATCCGGTGTTTTTGCAGTTGCAAGCTTGTGCATTCACTGTGCAACGCTGACTGCAGGCTTTTGCAGTGGCGACAGCGCACCAAAGATATTAATTACACCGTCCCCTTTTTTTTCCACGAATGTTTGGCTATTGTAAGTGCGGACCTTTTTGTCTCCTTTCCCCCCTTTTCCTCGATAATATTTAATCTTTCTCTTCCTTCCAGCAGGGAGAACTTTGCGGGGCGGGGGAGGGGGTGCTCTCTGGACAGCTGGGCAACAAAGTTAGAGGTGGGAGTGGGGGCTGCGACCCGCTCCGCTCCGGGGGAACGAGGTGATATTACAGAAGAATACAGACGCGTTTATTTTTATTATTATTATTATTTATTTATTTATTTTCTGAACAAGCAGCACAGCGGTTGACTTGTAAATCTCGGTGCCAGCAGCAGGGCGATCGGCCGGGATCCGCAGCGAGCCGGGCTGTGCTTAACAGCTGGCTGTGATTTTTAACCCCACTTTCTCACCGCCCGGAGGATTTCTTTGATTTTACTTTTACGTGCGGGGCTGCCTTTTGTGGTGGGAGGGGAGGGGGCCGCGGAGGGGGGAGCGGGTTTGCCTTGTTTGCCTTGGCTCTTTTTTTCTTTCTTTCTTTTTCTCGTTTCTTTCCTGCTTTCTGCTTCTTTTTTTTTTTTTTTTTTTTTCCTCTCTCTCTCTCTTTTTTCTTTTCTTTCTTTCTTTTCTTTTCTTTTTTCTTTTTAATCTGTGCTTATGTTTGAAGCCTGTCTGTGCCGAGGGCGGGGGACGCTTGGCTGCTGCTTCTATGCTGGGGGTGCCGGGCCGGACCGGGCCGTGCCGAGTGGCCGATGCTGCTGCCGGCCCCACACGGCTCCGGCTCCGTGCCCGGCTGTGCTGCGGCGGGGAGAAGCCCGGCATTGTCTCCATCCGGCTGGCAATGCCCGCAAGCCTCCAGGATGCACATTTCCTCTCCTTCTCTCCTTGTTTTTGTCAGCGGTTCAGCGAGGAAGAATGCCGCCCACCCAGCCCAATCCCGGCCAGTACGCCCTGACCAACGGGGACCCCCTGAACGGGCACTGCTATCTCTCGGGATACATCTCCCTGCTGCTGCGGGCCGAGCCCTACCCCACCTCCCGCTACGGCAGCCAGTGCATGCAGCCCAACAACATCATGGGCATCGAGAACATCTGCGAGCTGGCCGCCCGCCTGCTCTTCAGCGCCGTCGAGTGGGCCCGCAACATCCCCTTCTTCCCCGACCTGCAGATCACCGACCAGGTGGCCCTGCTGCGGCTTACCTGGAGCGAGCTCTTCGTGCTGAACGCGGCTCAGTGCTCCATGCCGCTGCACGTGGCCCCGCTGCTGGCCGCCGCCGGCCTCCACGCCTCCCCCATGTCGGCCGACCGCGTCGTCGCCTTCATGGACCACATCCGCATCTTCCAGGAGCAGGTGGAGAAGCTGAAGGCACTGCACGTCGACTCGGCCGAGTACAGCTGCCTCAAAGCCATCGTCCTCTTCACCTCAGGTGAGCGCTGGGAGCACCGGGGGGGAAGAGGAGACGTGGGGGGTGGCGGTTCCCATGCGCGTGGGCTGGGAGCGGCGCGGCCTGTCCCACTCTGTCCCCATAAACACTCACACGTATGGATATAAACACACGTATATATCCGTCAAATTAGGCGGAGGCGGTGGAAACACGCGTGCACGCATGTTAACAATTTTTCCCGGTGATAGATGGTTCGAATTAACTGGCAGGAAAGTGCATTAACTGCGCCTTTGAAGTGCTCTGGTTGTAGCCTATAAGAATATAATACATCTTCTATTATTATAACCTGCGAGGGGGAAATTTATAAACATCAAAGGCAAGCGATGCGAGGGAAATGTAGGAAATAGGAGCGAAGAGAGATAAGGGGCCTCGCAGTGTCATTTTTTAATCATTATTCTAATTATCACCACGATGGGGCTAATTGCCACTTTCTCCACTTGTTTGTTTTCCTTTTTCTCCTCTCCCCATATTCTCTCCTTTCTACCCGGTTTGCTGTTGCGGGTTCAGTTGTGGTGCTGCTGTTGTTGTGTTTAACCTTGTCTCCCCACTCAGTGATGCCCAAAGAGTCTCAATAAATCTGACTTAAAACCAGGGCCGACGCAAAATTAAAAGCATTCCTGAACAAAGATGGCAAATCGTTCAGAGCCTGGTTTAACAGTAAGCAGTTTATAATCCATCAATATCAGTTGCCTCCCATGCATGAAAAATAGTATTTACATTGTATTAAAATGACTCCTAAATTTGCACAATATTGTAATGTAGCAAACGCAGTATTAATATCGATTTGAACATCGGATAATTTATTTAGACAGGAGCACCTAATTTGTATGCAGGGTGGTCGGAGCCGTGTACTGTGACTGCCCCCTTCTCCTTCCCGTGCAAATGCAGGCACTCCACATCGGAGGGAATGTTTCTTTGCAGAGGATCAAGTGCAGATCTTAAAACAAATGGAAGATGTACCGAATAGCCAGCGCCACATTTTAATGCATTTTATCTTAATAAGTCTTCCTGATGGAAACACGTTTTTCAGAAGTGACAAGAGATCTGGCTGCATTTATCAGGCGGGTGCAGTGCACTGCAGCCCTGCGCTCCCCACCCCATCCATATCTGGGTCTCATCAGTAAGTGGGACCAAGTTGAGAGAGCCCGTCCCTTCTCCAGGACCCCACTCGGAGGGGTTACACCCTGCAGAGAGGGGTTGCCCTGCACCCCCTTCACAAAGGCTCAGAGGAGGAGATTGCCCCACATGAGGACATTTGAGGATTTTTATTTTTTCCTTTGGCTTGGTTTTAGCTTTGCTTTTTTATTATTGTTATTGTTATTATTTCTCTCTCTCTCTCTCTCTCTCCACCCCCAGCCCCTTCTGCTCTCCTCAAATGTCCGACCTTGGCTGGAGAGGCAGCCAGAGGCTTCAGATGAGCCCCTCATTTACATATATTAAAAACAATCATAATAATTAAATGTTTACGAGAAGAGAAGTCCCTTCCCTCGATGGAGCAGAGCATGAATGGGGGTTGGAGGGAGAATAATATTATTTTGGAGCAGAATCACACAGGGCACCTCAGAAAATGGAAATACAGCTGTCAGGAGTAATCCACCCCTTACACCCATCCACACATTTCCACTTTTCACTAAACTTGTTTTGATTGCTTAGCCAGAGGGGAATTCATGGGAAGCCTTGCTCAAAGTCATCCAACTTTTAAACAAACTTTGACTGATGGAAAAGACATTTTTAGGTATATTGTCCTAAGTCCTGAGGACTTAGCATTTGAAGCTGGTGTGGGTTCCTCCTGTTGTGGTTTTTACATTTGGGCACTGGATAGTATATCTAATGTGTAAAATTCTGGATGCCATCCAACAGCTGGGTCGTGACCCAAAACCTGCTGCTTTTCTTTATTTGTTATTTATTTATTTCCCCTTTTCCTTATTCCCAGTTATTAATTCCTGCACCTTTTTTTCCTCCCCATAAATAAGCGTTTCCAGGAAGGGATTGGGCTAAATAACACAAGTCCAATAAATCTATTTGCAGCGCAATAAGAACTTTGATTTCTAGTTAGATGCCGGCTGATTACATCTATATTTCCCGAGCACTAAACTCTTCTGAAGGCATAACGTGAAATACATTCCCACCAGTACAAAGGGGAAGGCAGGAGTGTGCTGAGCAGTAATGGTTATTTATTTACATAATTTCTTTTCCATAGACTGCAGGAAGAAATATAGCACTTTTCTGTATTGACAGTCCACCGTATGAGAAAGTGAGGAGCGCAGAATTTCCACATTAGCCCACTTTCTGCGATGGGGTAATAATTCACCTCCAGTAAACGTGGGCTATGTTGTTTCTCCCATAGACTGCACCTCCCTGGGCTCAGCGAGCTACGTACCTCTTAATTATTATTATTTTTAATCCCCTCCTAAAGGGAGAGTTAAGCCTCCCCACTGCCACCTTGAAGGATGTGATATACAACCCCAACAAATGCATCTGCCAGAACATTTGAAATAACCACAGCTGCAGGGGTGCCCTCGACACGAGTACACCCCACACGGGTTTGGAGGTGAAGCTCAAATCCAGCCCTAGCTGCACCCTGCAGCAGCACCGTCCCCATCCCTAGCGCCACTGACCTGTGGTATAGGTGGACCTGATTAATATTTTACTAACCTTAAGGGTATGACATATGGGGCATAAAGAGAGAGCCCTGCTAGGGTGTCAGTGAGACCCTTTCATATCGCATTGTTTGGAAGTTGAATAGGATCCTAGTGCATAATGGGCAGATAATGCATGTAAAATAGCAAGATATATGTAAATATGGAGTGTGATTTGTGGCAATCAACATATGAACAGGCCTGTGGTTTTGATATATGTTGCAAACAAGAACAGGCCCAAGCGTTTGATATATATATATATTCTGCAACCTGGTGCTTTAGATGTGGGAAAATATCACTGCATTAAAGGTACAGTATGGATTAGCAGTGCAGCCTGGCTCAGATAATTGTACATCTGAGGGACACCAGGTCCGAGGTGCGGGTCAAAGGTGCCCTCTTCAGAAGTTCCTGAATTATTTGTGTTTTATTTGTATTTTCGCTCGAGGCCACAGAATTGTAGATGAAGGTGTTCAGAAATCCGTGTGAGGCCACTTCTTGATAAGGGCAGGCACAAACTTCAAATATCCCGTTGCTGGAGATTTTTTTTTTCTTTTTTTTTTTTCCCCCTCTTTTCTTTCCCCCCCGCTTTGAATAATTTGTTGTGTCTTTCCAGGGTCATAATTCCGCATTCACAATTTTGTAGTGTCCTTTTGGGGGCCATTAACATTCATTAATTCATATACAGATCTATATATTAGCAAAGTCTGCCTTTGATCTGCGCTAAACCGCGCTGCCAGCTGACTGCCTCCCTCTGATCCTGATGTGTTGTTGGGCTTTTTCCTTTTCTTTTTTCTTTTTTTTTTCTTTCCCTTCCCCCCCCTTCCAACCCCCCGCCACCCCACCATATATATGTATTTATTATTAATCGGCGAAACAATGTGGATGTCGGAGGCGCTCCCCTTCCGCAGCGGCACCACCGCCGCCGCGCTGGGCTCTGTGTGATCGGGGGTGCAGCGCAGGGCCGCGCGGGGCCAAGGTGGAGCTGTGACCGCTGGCTGCGCGGGGTCAGGGCCCGCCCGGCTTTGTGTGCCGGAGATCCGTGGGTCCCCGCGGGCCGGGCGCGGGGCGCAGTGCCCGGGGCGGGGCGGGAGGCTCAGCGCGGCATCCCCCGGCCTCGGCCTTCCCTTGCGGCTGATGCGCAGCCATGTCGGCAAACTCGCTCCGTGTGCGCGTGTGTGTGTGCCTGCGCGCGGCGGCAGCGCTCGTTCTGCTCCCCCCCCCCTCACCTCCCCTCATAATTTTCGCTCCCGTCCGCCCCTCTCCCGCCGCCGCTATTTACCGGGGACGAGCTCGAAAGGGGCTCCGAGATGGGGGAGGTCTGTCACACACTGTGGGGTGAGGGACGGGGGGGGGGCCGAGGGGAGGGGAGCGACAGGTCGCGGACCCCCATACATCCGCGGGTGCGGTGTTTATTATAGAGGAGGGGGAGAAGTGTACTGAGTGGGGGGGCTGCGCGCAGCCTTGCGGTCCATCCGCCGCCACTAACCGCTTCCCTTCCTCCCCCCTCTCCTCCTCTCCCTTCCGCACCCCCGGCCGCCTTTCCGCGGGCGCGCTGCGGCCCGGGCAGACGCCTGCGGGCTGTCGGATGCGGCGCACATCGAGAGCCTGCAGGAGAAATCGCAGTGCGCGCTGGAGGAGTACGTACGGAGCCAGTACCCCAACCAACCCAGCCGCTTCGGCAAGCTGCTGCTGCGGCTGCCCTCCCTGCGCACCGTTTCCTCCTCCGTCATCGAGCAGCTCTTCTTCGTCCGCTTGGTAGGTAAAACCCCCATCGAGACCCTCATCAGGGATATGCTACTGTCGGGGAGCAGCTTCAACTGGCCTTACATGTCCATCCAGTGCTCCTAGAGCCCGGCCGCAGCCCGGCGGGGACGCTGCGCGGCGGCGGAGGCGGGGGCGCGCGCACCGAGGGGCGGTCGGGGCGCGGGGGGGGCCCGGGAGGCGGACACTGAACAAAAGAACGGCGCAAGTGGGAGCAGAGGTGTGGCCGCGTTGGGGAGAGGGACGGACCTCTCGTCCGTGCGGGTCGTGGTGTTGCGGTTGGTCTTCGGTTTGGTTGGGTTCCGGTTATTATTATTATTTTTTTTTTATATATATATTTTTTTCCGTTTTTTTTTTTTTCTTTCGGAGAGGAGGAAAAAAAAAAAAAAAAAGATAATAATAATAATAAAAGACAAAAAGGCAAAAAAAAATTAAAAAAATACAAAAAAATAAAAATATGAGTATTGAGGGGATATTAATCACACCTGAAGGGGATACTGGAGCTTCCAGGATTTATTGTGGACTGTTGTTGATATATGCTGTACAGTAACAAACAAAACAAATCGCGTTGAAGCCGAACTGAACCTTGTTTAGAACGAGCAACAAACCAACGAGCGAACAAACCAACAAACAATTCCACGCGCAAACACTTACCACGAGCATTGTTACTCATTTTGTAAAATATTAGTCTTTATTTTCATTTTTTGTAAAACTTAAGACATTGTATGCGCAGAAAGAAAGAAAGAAAGAAAGAAAGAGAAAGAAAGAAAGGAAGAAAGAAAGAAAGAAAGAAAGAAAGAAACAAGAATTAGGGGAAAATAACATTTTCCAAATAATTATAAAAAAAAAAAATTGTCCTGTGTCTATGTATCTATATCTGTTTTGTATTTTTTTCTGGTTCCAAACCAGGTTTCCTGTGATTCTATACTAATAATTTTTGATATAACCCTTTGCTTCTTATAATGAGTGCGATATATGTTGTCGAAGCTGTTCTTCAAGAATTAAAATTGAAGTGAGAATTTAAACAAAAATAAAAGAACTTAGCAAAAAAAAAAAAAAGAAAAAAGAAAAAAGAGAAAAAAAAAACAAACCACCAACTACTTATCACCCCACAACCCACGAGTCTTGTTGCTTGAAACATGCCAACAGTTCACCAAAAAGAGAGAAAAATAATAATAATAATAACCAAAACCACTAGAGCTGCCTGGACCTTTATCTCCTGTGTCGGCCCTACAGGAGAGGATCGAGGCCCACGCACGTGTCCAGTGTGGGACAGCCCGGCCGGAGCACAACACCGCGCTGCCTCCTGCGGGACCGCGGGATGGGGCGCAAAGTGGCCGCGGCTGCTGCACCAGTCGCACAGACACGGTCCCTTTTCGTCTTTTTTTTAGTATCGTTTTTTATATTGCTGCTTTTATGTCTTTTTTTTTTTTCTTCTTTTTCTCCCCTTCCCCCTCTTCTTCCCCCCCCTCCCCCCCCTCCCCCATTCTCTGTCTTCACCCCAAAGACCCTCTGGGCGGCCGCTCTGCCCCAGCCTTTAGCGGGCACCTAGCGCTGCGCCCACGGCAGACACCTGCCCTGTCTCCGCTCCTCGCTCGTGTCCCGAGAGTGCTTTTATTTTTGTTTTTATCTTTTTGAGCCAAGGAAAAATTAAAGATCATTTCAGTAATGGAGCTGCTGTGGAGGTGAAGGCTTCACAGTGCTGCTCGGTCCCTGTAACAGCTTCCATCGCATTAATGTTTTATGGGATCCGAGACAGAGCTGTAAGAACACACACTGCCAGGGGATCTCTTTCTTAACGTATTAATAAAGCCGGATCTTTAAAAATAGCACTGCCCCCGCGCTCAGGCACCCCCCGTGCCACAACGAGCCCGGATGAGGCAGGTTCGTGGAGTCACGGGCGGTGTTCTTTTAATTTGCTGTCCTCTATCCTCTCCTTCTCTCCCTCTGCCCTCTCTCTCTCTCTCTCTCTCTCTCTTTTTGCATTAACAAGATCCTTCAACCCAACCCGCTTGGGGCTTTTAATATTCCAGGCGCAGCAGATCCGAGGCGAGCGCAGCTCCACGCTCACAGCCGGGTACCAGCGCTGCGGGCAGGCGCTGCGCGGGGGCGGCCCACGGGCGCCGCTCAGGGGAAGCGGGGGCTGCGGGCGAGGATGGGACGCGGGGATACCGTTCTGTTCCCCGCCCAGGTGGGGGTGCCGGGGGCAGGCCAGACCTTGGTGGTGCTGAAGGAGCCCCCCGACCGCGTGCTTGGGTGGGTGAGTGGGTGGGAACACGGGGGGACCAACAGCGGGGAATGAAGCAGAGGAACGAAAGCGCGCGCGCACACACACACAAAGCCACAAAACATGACAACAACAGAAACTCAGAAATCATTAGATGTTATAATTAAAAATATAAAACCACAAACAAATAGGGATAGCGGAAGAGAAAGGCAGCTCTCAGTGGCTTCAAATGAGATGTAAATATATTCATTACAGTGTTATCCCACTGATGAAAACAGATAAACTTTTTTTTCGTAGGTCAGAAGAGTATTTTTCAATTAATTTTCGTATTTATGGATAATTATAATGACCCACGATTGCCAAGAAACGTGCACTTGTGGAGGAGGTGTGCGAGATGCGCGCATTTCCATGCATGTGTCCGAAAGAAGTGTTCCGACCTCTCATTAAACTTTGCTGACACGACTGTGCTGTGTGCCGAGGTGTGAACTGCCCTCTCCGCTCTGCTCTGCTGCTCTCCCTTCCGCCCCGTTGCAGCCCTCGGGGGTACGGCTGAAAATACCGCGCGTCCGCAGCACCGGGCGGTGCTCTGCTGGGCAAAAAAAAAAAAAAAAAAAAAAAAAAAAAAAAAAAAAAAAAAAAAAAAGAGAGAGAGAGAGAGAGAGAAGAAAAAGAGAAAAGGAAAAGAAATGTGATTGTGTAGAGGGGCCGGGTTCCATCCACCACCAGCTCCCGCTGAGTCGCCCGTGACTTACAATACACTGCTTTAAAGACCGCTCCTTGGTTTGAAACCAACCGCCCTCCTGTCCTGCTGTCATGCAGGGATGCACGGTTCCTCCACACCCCTCATCTGCCCCTCCGCGGACAGAGAGCGGAGCGAGAGTCAGTGGGGGACCGAGCCCACTCCTCCCACCCCAGTCCTGAGCGCAACGGCCCGCAAAGTGTCCTCCCCAGCTCAGCTGTCCTCCATCAAACAAATATTTGGAAATACCCCTAAATGGAGGGTCGAGTCCAGCGGGGACTGGGGCGGGGGGTCAGCCCTGCTTTCCCCGGCGGTGCTTAGGGCAGAGCTGCGGTCGGGCTGTGAGTGTGAGTGAAGGGGAGGGGGTATGGGGCGGGCGATGCCCCCTCTCGCCGCCTCCACCTGCGGGTCAGGGGGCTCTGAGACACCAATCCCGCTCCCACAGGGGTCAGGGCCGCTGCCCTGCGCCCTTTTTGTGTTGGAGGAGCGGGGCCTCTGCCGCTGGCAAAGATGGAGGTGTCAACGCGGGAGTTCCAGGTGCCCGGGCCGAGGAGGGGCCTGCTGGGCCGTGCCTCGGGGTCACTCTGGGGGACAGCAGAAGTGACAAGAGCAGACGAAGTGAAATCCACCATTGCTTTTAGTGTCACGCGAGTGGAACCCACCCGTCTGTCTCCACGAAGAAGTGAGAAGCTCCTTTTAGCAGACGGACAGGGTTCTCCGGATTTTATTTTCCTTCCTTCCTTCTTTTTTTTTTTTTTTCTTTTCCCCACCCTTTTTCACTCAAATTACCTGCGGTGTATAGCGGTCCCCTCTACGCAAAAACACCCGGGCGGAGCGGATCCGTGCGGCCGCAGGGGGGAGGCTGCCCTGCGCTGCGGCCGGGACGGACCCACAGCCGACGGACAAACTGTCGTGACCGCGGACCTCCCCAGGCTGTCCCCCCGGCGTGTGTGCGTGGCTGTCACGGGCACTGCCGGAATGCCTCCTCCTGCTTCGTGGAGCGCTTTGGCTATTCAAAGCACGCATTTTTAAGTCTTGAAATATCAGCCTCGGGGTGGGTGAGGGTTTGGTTTGCCTTTATTGTGTGTATGATTTTTGTTTTCTGGTGTTTTTTTGTTTGTTTGTTTTTTTTGTTTGTTTGTTTGTTTGTTTTCTGTTTGTTGGTTGGTTTCTTTCTTCTTCTTTTATTCCCAGACCCCCATCCTGTCCCCTCCATGCCTTCTTGAGGCAGACAGTGGCCGGCACTCACCGCCTTTTCCCAGCTCACTTCCAGTTTCTTTTCACCTTAGAAAGCCGTGACAGCCACTAAACATGCAAATACATTTTTAAAGCCTCCTTCTATCTCTCCCACTGTCACTGGCATTGGCATTATTTATTTATTTGTTTGTTTGTTTAGTACAAACTTACCCTCACTCGTAAGGTTTTCACCATCGTGTCAGGGCGGCCGAGGATGATCGTTCTGCGGAGATACGGGAACGCAGCGGGAACCACAAACAGGAAAATGTCACAGGGCACAGAGCACAGCCACGAGCGAACATGCGGCTCCTCCCGCGCCATGACGTGGGGATCTCTGCTGGAGAAGCGTTCTCCAGGAGAATGGAGAGAAGAGAGAGAGGAAAATGTGCAAAAAAGGGAGGAAAAAAGAGGAAGAGAGGAGGTGAGCTAGGGAGGAGACGTGAGTGCAATTGGAAACTAATAAAACTCTTGTTAAAGTGCTTGCTCAGGATCCATGGCGTCACCAGGTCCTTTGCTCGCGAAGCCAAAGAGTTTTATTCCTAAATGAGTTAAAGAGCCATTTACCTCTGTCGTGTTCTATTCATCAAGCCACAAGTCGAGAGTCCCTAACATGAAACTATTTGTTTGCTTACACAACCAGCTGGGTGCAATTTCACGTCTGAGATATCTATCTGAAAGCGCCTCTCATTTATTATCCCTCCTTGTCAGCGAATCCATTTTCCAACTATCCCCCCACCCCCTCGCCCCTTCCCCATTCATCGCAGGCTCCGTTCTTAAACGATCCCTTAAATTTTTCGGCACCTACACCCCCCTCCCCTCCCCGCCCATCGGCGTGCAGAGCCGGGGAAAGGCTTCACGCCGCGAAACGCAGAGAGCTTTGACCGAGCTGCTCCTTGTCCCTCTCCATTTCTCCATTTCCCCACAGGCCTGGTTG